AGTGCTAGTAAGCAAATATGTCATTTTGCAGTCCCAAGAACACCTGACCCAAGTCATGGTATTTTTAATCATCTCATATGCTTGAGAAAGCTGGACAATGGATACGGAAGACCAAAGACCAATTGATGTCTTTGAATTATGGTGCTGGTGAAGAACATTAAATATACTATGGAATGCCAAAAATAGGAACAAATCTGTTTTGGAAGTACAGTCAGAATGCTCCTTAGAAGTGAGGATGGCAGGACTTCATCTCACATACTTTGGACACTTTAGGGATATTCCATGTACAAGGACATCATGCTTGGGATAGTAGAGGGACAGTGAAAAAGAGGCAAACCTTCAACAAGATAGACTGACACAGTGACTACAGAAACAGGCTCAGAATAGTAACGATTGTGAGGATGAAAATAGACTAGACAGTCTTTTGTTCGGTTGTACATCCAGTCACTATGGGTTGGAACTGACTCAAGTACCTAAAAACAATAACAATGATAGTGCATATAGCAAGTGGGCTAAATACTGCGGTGCAGTGAACAGATTTCTTTAAATTTGTGGTAAAATCTAAAAGACTGTCAGTAACAATTCTTTTAAATAGGCCTGAGTGCACTAATTAAACTTTCTTTTAAATGAATCCTCAAAATTTTGGTAGCATTTTGTTTAACATTACTAGAACTCTAAAACTCAAATGTTCAATGTTTGCAGGTTTTAGGTATTATAATGCTTGCAAATAGGAAGATACTGAAATTAAATTATACCCCAAAAAAGAGGAACTGAAAATAACATATGGTAAGAACAAAAATATTATAAAATACCTAATTTTGAAATTCTATAATTGTGATCTGGAATATCTCATTTTGCACTCAGAATCTTTTAGTGTACATACTGTTTTTATTTGCATAAAATTATACTTTATGTCCTAGTGGATTAAGTTAAGAAGACCTATAATTCTGTAGTATTTAAATTTTATTGAAACCACCATAATAATCATAAACAAAGAAAATTAGGTTTCTGATGAGCTTTGTCAGAAATTTGGTGGAAGGTACACTGGGAATTTTTAAAAGGACAGCACCTATGAAAATGTTTAGGCAGAAAGCTTTAAATTCACATCAATACAAATGAATTAGAATTGAGAATGTGTTTTACTTAGCAGTGATTGAATTTACTAGGCACCTCAGCACTTATAATAAATAAAATACATTTTCTCAATTAAAATATTATGGTCTTCAGAGACACGTTATTTGAAGGTACCAACAATTTGAAATTTATACAACTATGAAGAGGATTGGAGTCACTTTTATGAAAAAATTACAAAGAAGGAAGCAGGAAACCACACTGAAAAAAATGTACTCTTTGGAAAAAATGTCAGTGTTACCTAGCATAGGTATTGGAGAAGATATGGCTAAGAAACTAATTTAAGTTTGTGAATAGGTACTAGGATTGAGTCCTATGTCAGTTTTAACATTCAGGTAAGTGATTTAATTTTTTTTAAAGTTTGTTTTTATTGTAATAAAACATGTCATTGCTATTTTTTGAAAATAGCTTTTGAATACCCACTGCCATTGAGTCAATTCTGAATCATAGCCACACTTAGGGGTTTCAAGGCTGTGAATCTTTAAGGAGACAGATTCCCTCGTCTTTCCCCTGCAAGTTGGTTTGAACCACGAACTTTGCTATTAGCAGCCCAATGCTCAACCAGGACTCCATAGAAATAGCTAATAGCTGTGCCTGGTAAGACTCTTTAGGATCAGCACTGGTCAGTGTTTCGGACCTACCAGCTGTTCCTCGGAAGCCCTATACAGAGTTCCTTTGAGTTCGAACCAATTCGACAGCACTTAACAACAAACAACACATCACCAGCAATATAATAAAGTTGCTGCACAATAAATAAATATATCTAAAAGTAGCACAATTTTAATTTATTATATTGACTTTTTTTTGTTCTCCAAAATGTTCTTTGGGCAATAAATGGTAAAGTCACCTTATTTAGATACAAAAGGACTTAAAAAAAAATCATGGAAAAATTCCATTTTCTTTTCATTTGACTTTTCCATGAACTTTTAATTTTTTTTTTGATCAAGTCCTCCTCTCTTCCAGCAAGCAAGGTTGTGTCATCTGTCTATGGTAAGTTGTTAATGACCCTTCCTCCAAGGCTAATGCCTGTTCATATAATCCAGTTTCTTGGATTATTTGCTCAGCATACAGATTGAGTAAATACAGTGAAAGGATACAACCCTCACAAATGCCTTTCCGTACTCTAACCCATGCAGTATCCCCTTCTTTTTGAATGACTGCGTCTTGGTCTGTACAGGTTCCTCAGGAACACAATGAAGTGTTCTGGACTTCCCATTTTTCGCAATGTTTGTAAATTCCACACAGAAGAACGCCGTTGCGTAGTCAATACAATGCAAGTAAACATCTTTCTGGTTTTTAGTAGAGATTCATCTGACGTCAACAATAATATATGGTAGTTAGTTATTTAAAGTCCTTGGAAACCCTATACAGGGTCGCTATGAGTCAGAATTGACTCAAAGGCACTTCTCAACAACAACAACAGTAGTTATTTAAATAGATAACCACACCAACCAAAAGTTTCTGTTACTTTGCTCTCTATTGGGAAAATATTATAAATATTGTATTAGTAAATGATCTAATGGGAAATATAATATGAAGCATATGTATCTCATTTAAACTTTTCTTTAACTATAACTTAAACCATGAAATTGAATGAGTTACTGTCTTCAGTGACTAAAACTGCATGACAGAGAAGCGAAGTGGTAATTAAAATTGCTTAAGTAAACATATTGCATTGGGCAAATCTGCTGCACAGGAACTTTTTAAAGTGCTGAGGAGCAGAGATGTCAGCTTAAGGACTAAGGTGCGCCTGACCCAAGCCATGGTAGTTTCAATAACCTCGTATGGATGCAAAAGCTGGACAGTGAATAAGGAAGATCGTAGAAGAATTGATGCCTTTGAGTTGTGGTGTTGGAGGAGAATACTAAAAGTGCCATGGACTGCCAAAAGAACCAATAGATCTGTTTTGGAAGAAGTGCAGCCAGAGTGCTCCTTGGAGGCCAGGATGGCTAAACTTCGTCTCTCATACTTTGGACATATTGTCAGGAGGGAACAGTCACTGGAGAAGGATGTCATGCTGGGTAAGATGGAGGGTCAGAGAAAAAGAGGAAGACCCCCAATGAGATGGATCAGCCAAGTGGCATCATTGATGGCGTCAAGTGTGGCAGCGGTAGTGAGGTTGGCCCAGGATCGGACATTGTTTCGTTCTACTGTGCATGGGCTCGCTATGAGTCGGTTCCGACTCGATGGCACCTGACAACAACAACAACAAGTAAACATAATTCAAAATTATAGTTTTGTTTTTTTTTAAGTTTATTTAAAATTCTTTAATTCTGGACAATTTATGCTGCTCTAATTTTCTGCATAAGCTGGTGTTTTGGAAACTCACACCACCCACTGCCATCTAGTAGAATCTGACTCACAATGACCCTATAAAGCGCTATCAAGGTTGTAAATCTTTCTGGGAGCAGAAAGCCTCAATATTTTTTTCCAGAGTGGCTGGTGTATTTGAACTGCTGATCTTGGAGTTAGCAGTCCAGTGCTTATGCTACAGTGCCATCAGGGTTGTGTTTTGGGAAAGACCTCCAAAATTCAGGGTACACAAATTTACGTTCTTAGTTGAATTCTTAAGATGGAGAAAGCTGAATGTTTGATAGCCTGGGAATAAACAATAATGTGGTACAAGCACGTTTGTATATAGTTATTCTTTTTTCTAGAGTAAGTATACTAAGATGGGATGTTGTTGTTAAGTGTCCAAATGTCAGTTCTAACTTAGTGGCTTTGTGGTTAGCAGGCCAGTGTTTAGCCTGTAGCACCTTAACAAGATACTTATTTTGCAGTTGTTGTTAAGTGCCTTAGAGTTGTTTGTGAGACATAGAGATCTTGTATATGGTTTCCCAGGATGGGCTGGTGAGTTTGAACCATTAACCTTGAGGTTCAAACCGACCTTGTTTTGCAGTCTAGTGTTTATCCTACAGCGCCACACCAGGATACTTAATATTTGGGGAAATAAAAACATTTAAATTAATGGGGAATGGCAATGGGCAGACAGTTGTTGGTTTTAGAATAGACAATAAAAATAATAAAGAGAACATATTTCCTACTCCACCAGTTGACAGTACTTTTTCCCAGCAAAAATTTACAATCTAAATAAAACAGGTCCACGTGTGCAAACAACTGGGCTGTCTGGTTCAAAAGTAACTGCCTTGTGGGCAGATCCTCTTGGGAGTTTCATCTGGCTCTGTATTCTGACCTCGACCATGGACTTTCCCCCAATAGTGGTCCTTAAGGGTCATGGAACCCACAAGAAGGTCAGCTTTCACTCTCTAGTGGAGACCCCCGTCCCTTCAGGAGGCGGCTGAGAGTCGCCCTATATCTCTACTATTTCAATTTTTATAACCATCTTTCCCATCAAAAGGAAGGAAAAGCTTCCTGGGAATATAATAGACTGAAAGGATACTCAGACTGCTGTGGAGAAAGACCAAAGCAAGTGGTTCAAATGCCCCAGATCCAAATTCCCTTCATTGGAGCAGATACGGCCCCAATAGCCAGCCAGTCCCTCCAGTCGGAAGACAAAGAAAGGCTCTAGGCCGAGTGGTGACGGGGTGGGTGGGGGCAGCGACTCGCGTGAGCTCGGGGACGTGAGAACGCAGCCCCCGCCCCGTTCTCCGCCCGCCCCTGGAAAGGCGGGGTTCCAAAGCCGCCCCGCAAAAGGTCTCCCCGCTGTGCCGGCAGCGGGTCCCAAGTGGCCGCACACGCCCGAACACCAGCGGCGACCGGCCAGCGCGGTGGAGGAAGGGAGAAAAAGAAGGCGGAGCCGGCGGGCAAAGAAAGGCCGAGAGGCGAAGCGGGGGCGGGGCCGTGCCCGGGCGGGCGGGGCAGAAGAGCGGGGCGGGGCGGGGCCGACCCGGTCCCGGGCTGCCTGAGACAGTCACTGCCCTGACGGCGGCGGTAGCGGCGGCGATTCGCTGTGGGGGTTGGGAGGAGTGCGACCGAGGCTGCCGGGGCAGCTGAAACTGGCAGTTGCCGGAGGCCAAGTGGAGGATCTGGAGCTGGGAGCGTGCTCTAGGTTGGGCGGAGGAGGCGACTGCTGATGGAGTGCAGGGAACCGCGGCTTCTCAGCAAAGCAAGTGCCTGAGGCTGAGAGTCCGCAACGGCGGCGGTGCAGCGGCGGGTACAGCGGCGGCTGGGGCCAAGGTAACCGAGGGGCGGCGGCGGTGGTGGAAGCGAGGCCCCTCCCTCAGGTCGGAAGCTCGGGGAGTGAAGCTGGGGCTTCGACCTGACCCACCTTCTCCAGTCTTTAGCCCCAGACCCGACCTCTTTCCTGGCTCCGCCAAAGGCCAGGCGGGGGCGGGACCAAGGTGCGGGATGGGGGCACTGAGCTGGACATCGACCGAGGGGCTACCCCTCGTCCGGGACTGGCAAAGACCTCAGACACCCCCTCCCCCTTCAAAAGACACACCCCAGTCTCTGGGCTGGGCGGGGTGCGGAGGCGCTCCCAGCTTTCTGGAAGGGAAGACCTCAGTATACTAGCTGCACCTCCACCAGTGGCCTCGGCGAGGTGGCCCCCCTGTGGCTCTTTGGGGCGGCTCAAACCCTAGGTAGTTCCTGTCTCTGGGAATCCCTGAGTTCCTTTTGTCTCTATCAGCTGAAACTAGAGGCCGGAACTGTAGGCGAACGTCCACCAGCATTGAAGCACTCCACTGCTTATCTCTCTTCTACCTCGGGAGGCATTAGTCCCGGCAGCCCTTTCTCTAGCCACAGTTGTTGTTGTTAAGTACCGTGGAGTCGGCTCCGACTCATATTGACCCTGCACAGGGTTTCCGAGGCTGTAAATCTTTACGGGAGCAGAACGCCTCATCTTTATCCCGTGGAACCGCTGTTAGTTTCCGAACTGCTGACCTTGACTTTGCTAGCCACAGTTGTAGATTCCATTCCCGGCACTCACTTCCAAGCCTTCATCTTTGATGTAGAGTATGAAGAATTCACGGTGTACTTGGTGTTTGGGTTTATCATTCATGTAAGAATGCCCCTTTCTGCCCCTGTTTTTAAAAACTAATTACCACCCACTGTGGTAATCTTCAAGATATTCTAAACAGTCAACAAAGAAATGTGGTTATTGTAGTTAGAGTATTTGCAGTGGTTGAATGGCAAGTGAATAGATATTCCGTAACTAACCTATCTAATGGCTAGAGGTAAGGTTGTTACTGCACAGGCTCTTCTCCCCCCCCCCCCCAAAAAAAAAAAAAAAAACTACAGTGAGGACAACTTGATTGAAATGTGGGAAGCGTAACTATAGAGAAAGAAAAATAGGGGAAGAAAATTATAATTTGGTGGAGATAATTGTCCAACTTTTTGAAAGTGCCAAAGATGAAGTATATGGATTTTGGAGATTACTTCAACTGGTACAGTGTATTCTTTCATAAATGTTATTTTGAAAAATTTATGGCATTTTACACTAAGATGCTTCTGTTTGTTTCATTTTAGTTACTTGTGGAAATTGTTCATTATCTGGACATCTTAAAACCAAGACACCTGTGAATAGGTTCATTAAAAGTCCACTATCTTGAAAAATACATTTAATTAATGCTTTGAATTAAAAAGGTGTTAACAGTAGTCTGTCATTTCTGCCACATAAGAGGCCATAATCTGAAACAGTCCCTGGCAGTTTCCCAGATGTTTGAAACTGTCAGGGTATAGTATTTTGAGAGATGATTCTTTAGCAAGCAATTGAACTGCAGAGCTAACTATGTGCAGTATAAATGTAATCTCTTTGATGACATTTCTATAATGGATACCTTTTCTAAATCTAATTTTCAGATGCAGAATTAACTCTTGGATTCTGGAGAGGCATTTTGTACAGATTGAAAGATAGAGCTTTCTCTTCAGTTTTCCAGATGTATTCTCTCATCTGTATACTTGAAACATCCACAATCACATAAACTACAGATGTAGTCATGGAGTTATGTGATCCATCAAGACATAGAAAAAGTGTTCCTGAGCTTTGGAACCAGGCTCCCCCCCACCCCCATCAGTTAAGCAATTAAACTAAAAAATCTCTGCTAATCAAGATTAAGGAGCCAAATAAAGCCATGCACATTCTATTGGCAAATGGACTCTGTGGCTGTTGAATTTTACTGTGTTTGGTTACTTTGGTCATTCAAAGTCAACAATATGCAAGTTGTGCCCTAATGGATGTAAAGACCGGTGTTGATGTATCCACATGCTAGCAAATGTTGAAGATAAGAAACCTATTATGACTAATCCTTGGGAAGAGAAAGTCTGCAAAATGGCTCAAACCAGTTTACTGCAGGGGAAGCAGTTTTACTGTAGGGAGTGGGTTTTCCACAAGCTTCAGCATTGCCTTCAGGAGAAAACTAACTGCTGCAATAGTGCTGTCAACACACCATCCCTTGTAATGAATTCTGGAAATAATGCTAGTGTTGTCTCTGGAAAAGGAGCTGCTTGGGGTGTGTTGTTGGTAGGAGGGCCTGGCAGTGGCAAGACAGCCCTATGTACTGAGCTCTTGTGGCCAAGTTCACCTACAAGCTTACAGAGAGGTTTACACCGCCAAGCTTTGGCCTTTCATTTCTGCAAAGCTCAGGACTCTGATACTTTGTGTGTTGGAGGGTTTATTAGAGGTCTAGTTGCCCAGATCTCCCGCAGTGGACTACTCCAAGGATATGAAGACAAGCTAAGGGATCCAGCAGTCCAAAGTCTTCTACAACCTGGAGAATGTGAGAGGAACCCCGCAGAAGCGTTTAAAAGGTAACAAGAATGTCCTGGTTTTCATCTTCATATGAGAAAGTTAAATGGTTTTCTTTTTTTTTTTTCTTAATTTTTGACGTGCCTTTACTAGTGCTGTATATTAGAAATAATCAATGGTTATGAATATACCTGTTTCATAAAAGTGCTTTGAATATTGAAGAAAAAAACCTTAAACTTTGTATTAAACAGTATTATATTGATTGTTAAGTATGCATTTTAATTTTACTTGCCTATTAGCAGAAAATGAATGAACTTTTTAAAAAGTCAAATTTATGAAAATTATTTATTTGCATTTCTTACATCACCTGTAATTGGTAAGAGAAATGTTTATGGGTAGAGAAGAATGCCTAATTTTGTGGAAGCTAGACTACCATTTTCAGGGAATGTGAATTTATGGAACTGAATTTAGAAGAATTCAGCAGAGAGTCTATAGTATTTCTGTTTTTATAATATTAACATTTCATTATTTTAGAAGGGATTATTGATCATTGAAAATTTGAAGAAACACTGCTAATGCCTTTTGGGAGTTTTTCTGATCAAGTAAATGAAAAGTTGAGTAATATTTTAAAGTATGTGACATTTATGAAATAGTGACAATTTGGGATCATTTAAATAACTTTAGTGAGTGGTGTAAAGAACATTTTTTCTTGCCAAACCTCAATTAAGTATTTTTTGAGGGTAAATGGATTGGACTTAGAAGTGAGCAAGTTGCATTTTAAAGTGGTTCTAGATTTTAAATGTGTTCAAGAAAATATTCCTTGAAAATCATCCTTTGCTTGTCACTTCTCTCTATATTAAAAGGAGCAGGCAAATTGTTAAACTTTTATGTAATATTGTCTCACAACTGCTTTATTACTCATTTTGTCGTGTACTAGTTCTCCCCTCCACAATAGTTCTTAGCAGGCAAAAGTGAGTGAGTGAGAGAGAGAGAGAGAGATTGGGGGGAGGGAGATTTGAACAGGATTTGAATTGCTGTGAAAAGAGTGGTGTTTGTTCATCTGATGCCCTCAGATAATGATAGTATAAAATTGTATATATTTTTGAATGGTATTGAAAATATTTAATAATAATAATGATAAAAAACACTATGTGCCAGTCATTCTTCTAAGTACTTTACAAATGTACAATCATTAGATCTTTATAATATTACTGTGACATAGGTATAGTTATTATCCCCATTTTTCAGATGAAGACACTGAGACTCAGCCTCAGTATCTTGTTTAAGTATACAGGCTAATAAACGTGGCAGATCTGAGATTTGAAATGCATTCTTTGCCAAACTTGAAGAAAAGAGGAGTAGTTTAATAGTTTGTATATGGTGAAGTTGGAGGACAGGGGGTGTGTCATTGCCTGGTTTGAGTGCAGTTTTCAGATTACTTCAGACTAAGTGATAGAGAGGTATTCCAGAAATGTTGTTCCGACTTAAAACAACCCTGTATAGGCTTTCCAAGGAGTGGCTGGTGGGTTTGAACCGCTGACCTTGCAGTGTGTAGTCCAGTATGTATCCTACAGCTACACACCAGTCTCGAATGAGTTATAGTTAGTGGTATAGATTCAAGTATGGGGGTTTATTAAAGTCTGATGAGAAGGTGTCTTTGGGAGGTGTGATACTGTTAAAATTTTAAATGTATAATTGCAGTTCAATAAAACTGAGTGCAAATCTGTTGTACTTTGCTGTTAGCCATCAAAATCAGGGTTGAAACTGTTATTTCTTTCTTAAATGAATTAGGAAGTATGTTAAACGATGCCATGGTAGGAATTTGAGATGGTAGTTTTGATTGGACAGTGTTCAATATAGAATCAATTTTGGACAATGTTCAATATAGAAGAAATAATTTAATAGTAAAGGAGCTCTGGTAGGGTAGTGGTTACGAATCGGGCTGCGAGCCGCAAGGTCAGCAGTTCGAACTACCAGCTGTTCCGCAGGAGAAAGATGGGGCTTTCTGCTCCCGTAAAGATTTACAACCTCGGAATCCCTGTACATGGTTCCAATTCCCTATGAGTTGGAACCGACTCCACGGCACATAACAATAGTAGGTTACAGGAATCTTGGTGTGGTGCTGTAGGGTGAGCACTGGACTGGACTGCTATCTATGTGGTTGGTGGTTCAAACCAACCAACCACTCTTTGGAAACCCTATACAGGGTCGCTGTGAGTCAGAACCAACTGAGAACACTTAACAACAAACCACAATGGGATACAATAATAATCTTTAATGTAATACGTTGTAAGAGACAAAGTTTCTGTGTATAAACAACTCCTTGGTTCTTGACTTACTACTTTTACTCAAGACATTATTACTGATTAGAGAGCTGAATTCTCATTTCTTTGTTAGAAGCCATTACATAAACTATTTGGATATATTGACTCATTAAAAAATCAGTTTCTAGAACTTTGTGAAATTATAACTGTGTACTTTATTTCATTGGAATTCAGTTGTAAGTTGCTAATACCTTTAAATAATTTAAATCAGATGTCATAATTATTCCTAAAATATTCTAATTCTGAACATTTCTTTCTCTACAATATCATAGCTTTTCCTGGAAAACATCTTCTTACTCAACTATTCCTCTTAGTGTTTTTTTTGTTTTGTTTTGTTTTTTAATGTGCTTTATAGTTATTAACTAATAGAAGGACAATAAAAAATGATTAGAGCAATATGAAAAAAACCACACGAGCACTTGTTTTCTTATTGACAGAGGAGCTAATCATTTGAATTCCAATCAATACTTTGTTAGAAATAGCTTAATCTTTGTTCTTGGGCCATTTTGATGCTTTTAGTTGATTTCCCGGAGTCCATGGGGCTGTCTGGACTCCTGGTGTGATGCTATAGGATCAGCACTGGATTGTGAGCCACAAGGTTGGCAGTTCAAACCTGCACCTTGGAAACCCAATAGAGGATCTCTATGAGTCAGAAATGACTTGACGACCCTTAACAACAACAGCAGCAATGGGGCTGCATATGGTTAATGAACTGCACTGCTAACTCAAAGGTTGGTGGTTCAAGAGAAACCTTGGAAGAAAGGTTTGGTCATCTAATTCTGAAAACCCTATGGAGCACAAGTCTACTCTGACACACAGTCGGTCAGTCACCATGAATTGATGTCTACTCATTGGCAAACTTGGTTTTTACATAATCTCCTACTGGATCTTTTGAAAACATAGATCATTTTCTTTATCATTAAGGTAATTAATCATTAAATCAACTATAGTAACTGTGTGGCATTGTAGAATAAACACTGGACTGCTAAATACAAGGTCGGTGGTTGAAACCTATCAGCCACTCCTCAGAAATCTTATACTGGGTCACTGTTAGTTGGAATGGACTCAATGGCACTTAAGAGTAACAACAACTTTGGTATTTGTTTCTGATAATTCATAGGGATACCAACTCAACAGCACCTAACAACAACATATCTTCTAAGACTGGAGCTATAATTCAACCATGTTAATTACAAACCTGAGACTCTAGTTCATACTTAAAAAAGAACAAAAAATATTTTTTCACAGTCTGTGGCATTAGTTTTGGACAAGTAGTTTTAGTGTATTACTTATTATATTATTGGTGATTGACACATTAAATCAGTCCTTTAGACAATTGTAATAGAAATATATTGCAAGTTTGGTGGTTCAGACTCACCAGCCACTCCTTGGAAACCCTTTACAGGATTGCTGAATTGGAACTGACGGCACTTAACAACAACAACATATTTTATTTAGGTAGGAATTAGATAGAATTCAACAGGGAGACAATGGGGCAAGTTGCTATCAGGAAGTTACAATATAGTGAAAGAGACAGATGGAAGTAGCTAATTATACCATGGCAGGAGACCAAAGAAGTATATATACAAAGAGAACTAAAATATTTTTTTCACCTTTGACAAAAACAAAATCCAAAGCCAGATTTGTATTGTTACTTACATAATATTTAAAATGTGATAATATTAATGGTTTCTATATTCATGTGTCAAATGATTTAATAGTAAGAGAAAATTGCTAAGTAAAATCTTAGCTATAAATAAAGCTGGTGAAGTTGTTTTACTTCTCTTGTTTTTCAATAATATGATAGAATGAATATGTAGTATTGAAAAGTCACTGTCTTACTTGCGATCGTATGACTAAGTTGTAACTTATAAATGACCAGTTTATCAAAATTGCTTTTTCTTAATGGTAACTAAAAAAGAGTGAAAGGAACTTCGTATTAATCTAGTTAAATAGTACCATGTTCTTTTCCTTCTGATCAAAAGGAGCCTTGGTGGCATTGTAGGAAAAGTGCTGGTTAGTTCAAACCCACCAGTTGCTCTGTAGCAGAAGTATGACCCTTTCTGCTCCTGTAAAGACATACAGCCTCAGAAACCCTCCATAGGGTTGCTATGAGTTGGAATTGACTTGGTGGCAGTTTTTCTTCTGACCTAGTATTGTTGTTGTTAAGTGCCATCAAGTTACTTCCAACTCATAGCAACCCTGTGTAGGGTTTACAAAGAGTGGCTGGTAAGTTTGAACTGCTGAACTTGTAATTCAAACCGACCTTGAGGTCCAGTGCATTATCTTGTGGTGCCACACCAGGAGTGTTACATATTTTATTGAGTCTTAGGTATAGTTGTTGTTAGAACATTATTCCTGGCATCTACTCATTAATTCATATGTTGTTATTAAGCACCTTTGAGTCAGTTCCAACTCATAGTGACTCTGGATAGGGTTTCCTAGGAGCGGCTGTGAATTTGAACTGCTGACCTTGAGGTTTAACCCAACCTTGTGGTATAGTGCTTTTTCCACAGTGCCACACAGAACTTCAGTATGTGTTTATTGAGAGCTTTCTATGTGTTAGATAAAGTTCAGATGCAGATAAATCCATGAATAGAACAGATAAAGATCCCTGCCTTCATAGAACTTTAATTTTAGCACTAATACTTATTTTATTTCTCTAAACAAAAATAATACTTGGCCAAATACTTATTACAGTGTTTTTGCAACACATAGGCATTTTAATATAATTACAT